AAAAATGGAAAAGTAAGTGGTATGAAACAAATTATATCTATACTATCTTATTAAGCAAATTTAATAAAAGTCTTAAAGTCTTAAAATACTAAATGACTAAGATACCCTTTATACCACTCTTACTCACTTTTTCACCCTCTTCTCTCCTCACATACACTAACCCACTCAGGCCCTCACATACACTCACCCTCTCACACCGATTTTTTTTAAATTATAATTCTAAATTTACACTTTATACCCTTATAATTAGTTAATTAATTTACTTTACATCCTTTACTTTTAAATATTTCATTTTAAACCTTTATCAAATTAACATATATAATCGTATATCAACTAAAACATATTTAAAAAATACATTTTTATTTTAACAAGTTACACCATTATAATCGTCTCGTTAATACCTTCGAAATGAGTCCAATATTGAATAGTTTTTGACTTAATTATATTATTATATATTATATATTGTGAAAAAATATTTTTAATATTTACGATTTATACTTTTATAGTTATTTATATATATATATATATATATATATATATACTATATATTTTGGGGTTAGACTGTCCAAATTACACTGTATAATATGTTCTTGAGTTTTTTTGAAAAAAAAAAATATATATATATATATATATATACATGTATTAATTCAACCTTAATCTGAGTTTCTGGACAAGAAAGAGTGTAAACAGTTAAAATTTCATTCTAAAACTCATCTTTTTTGGTCTTTTCATGGCTTATGATCTGTCAAATTTGTAGTTTTCTTTATTTGTTTTGAGTGTTTATCTTAAAACTCAAGTTTCTTGGTTATTTGCTCTTGGTGTAAATCGAACACATTTGTGGATTCGTTTAAATATGTTGGAATTTAAATATATTGGATTTTAAACTGTCATACAATTTTTTTCGTCGATAGTCTGTAATTGGAACCATGACTCTTATTTATTAAAATTGTATTAATATGTAAAGACCAAATGGAACTTATATCATCGTTAAATCTTATCTTATAAAACCAATGAAAATTCAAAATCGTTAAAATTCATGGCTCCCGCCGCATTGCGCGGGTACACAACTATTAACTAATTATAAGAATATAAATTGTAATTTAAAAATAAAAAAATATTTGATCTTTAATATTATATTGGGATGTGGAGATTTAAAGTTATGGGTTCTACAACATTAAATTTGTAAATTAAAGGTGTAAAAAAAATAATAAAGAATATAAAACAAATTAAATATGATAACTATAAGGTATAAAATAAAAGTTTTAAAAATAATTCATTACGTATTTATGTTATTCAATAATATGAGATTAAATAGAAAAATATTCAATATTTGGCTCATTTTGAAGGCATTGATGAGACGATTATAATAATATAATTTGTAAAAAGTGAAATGTATTTTTTTAATATATTTTAATTAATATACGATTATGTATGATAAGATGATAATGGTGTAAAATAAAAAATGAAAAAAGAAAGGGATATAAAGTAAATTAAATAACTACTATAAGGGTGTAAATGTAACTTAAAAATTAAAAATAATTCGATTTTAATATTATGTTTGAAACGTGGAAGTTTTAATGAAAGTGTTTAGCTTCAAAACTTGTACACGGTGCATAGGTAGTTGTACCTCTTAATTTTCAACACAAAACTGTTTAGCATGCTTATATATATTACTAGAAGGATACTCACGCAATTCAGCGAGATAGATCTTGATTTTAATATTTCATTTTATTCTTTATCTCAGTCAATGCTATAATATGGTATTATGTGATTTTGAAAAATCGATGATGTTTTTATTTTTGAACAAAATATAAATTTGAAAATATCAAATTAACTATTTAAAATTCATATTTTTTGTATAATTTTTTAATTCAATTTTTTATTATAATTTAATTTATGTTCAATAACGAAATAATTTATATTTGGTTTAATAATATAATTTTTTATAAAGATAATAATTAACTATTTTGTTAGAACTCGATAATTATTCTAATTATATTTTAAATTAAGATGTTTATCTTCTATTTGATTGTGTTTATCCGCAATTAGTTACACGAATTCAAACATGGAGCTTTAATAAGTTGTATTTATGCATAATTTACTTGTAATCTTGAATTTTAAGTAATATGCATCAATATACAGTACTTCATGCATAAAAACTGGTTTTTAAGAGTTTTTGTCAAATGTTTTATAATATAGTAATAATATAACTTTTTTATAAAGATATAATTAATTATTTTGTTAAAACTCGATAATTATCCTAATTATATTTTAGATTTTTTATATTTTAAAATGAGATATTTATCCTTTATTTGATTATATTTATCCGTAATTGGTTACACAAATTCAAACATGTAGCTTTAATAAGTTGTACTTACACATAATTTACTTGTAATCTTGGATTTTAAATAATATGCATCAATAAACAGTAATTTATGCATAAAAATGATTTTTAAGAGTTTTTATCAAATGCTTTATAGTATAGTATAGATTTAGATTTTTTATATTTTAAAATAAGATGTTTATCCTTTATTTGATTATGTTTATCCGCAAATAGCTACACAAATTCAAACATGGAGCTTTAATAAGTTGTACTTACGACAATTTACTTGTAATCTTGAATTTTAAATAATATGCATCAATAAACAGTACTTTATGCATAAAAAAATGATTTTTAAGAGTTTTTGTCAAATGTCTTATAATATAGTATAGATAGATATATAAACATCATTTACAAACCTAATAAAAGTTAGAAACTGTAGGAACCAATCATGATCGTCCAACCTATTTCATTTTTAATAATGGCATAACTGAAATTACTTTCAAAATCATTGCCCAATAGATCATAAAATTTGAAAATTAGGGGCATTTAGGGAAAAATCATCCACTAAATTAGGGAGATGCAAAAAATCCTCAAAATTGTTCAACACATTTTATCCCTAATTAATTCATCAGATTTTATCTCAATGAAAGTGGCTCTGAGAAAAATATTGGTTCACCAATGATGATCGGTTCTTCGTCAATCTTCACCATTAATTAAAATGATATCAGAGGATGCAATTGGTAGAGATGAAAATCAGCTTTTCAAAGAATTGACCAGATGTAATTCCTAATTTACTATATGAAAAGGTGTGGGTCGAGTAATCCCTATTTCACATGATGTAACTATTACATGGTGAATTTTTTGAAACGGGTTCATCCCCTGCTGCAGGTTATAACAATTAAGAATAGGTATGAACTGGGTGGTCTTTAATTTACTGAAAAGTTAGTGGATGTAACAATTAAGAACAAGTATGCACTGGGTAATCCATATAGGTTAGAACGATGTGACTTGTTTCACAAGTGAAACGAACCTCGTTTCACCAATGAAATGAAGCTACTTTACAATTTTTATTTAGGTGAAACTGTTCACCAGTGAAATAAAAGTGTTTTAACAGTGAAACGAGCATGGTTCATTGGTGAAATGAAGTTGTTTCACTAGTGAAATATGGAACTGTTTTACCAGTGAAATGACCATATGAATCATTATTCATGTTTTGATATGCACAATGTGGAGACAAGATACATAATGTGATGCCTAAAAAAAATATTGACACTGTTAAAAAAAAGGATACATATAACCCGTCTTGAGTTAGTTTTACACTGACAATAAAAAAAAAAATATATATATATATATATATATATATAATGCAAAAACAATCAAAAGCCAAAAAAGCATGATAGAGAGAGTTATTAAATAATTTTATTAAATACAATTTGGGAATATCAAATTTCTGATTTAATATAAAATGCAAACCACATGATCGATTAGTGTACTTATTTTAAAACAGGGATGATATCCAGATTTTGAGCAGTCCGTAGGGACCTACCTGAAATTGAATTTCAATTGTTTCTCTTACCCAATTAGAGTCTCCATTGATTCTTAAGTATCTTCAAAGCATCTTGAAATCAAGTAAGGAGACGTTTACCAAATGTTTATCCGGGTAAGTGCTTATCAAGTAACATTATCTCATCGGATGAATATGGTAAGGACCAAGAATCTTATCCGGTAAGAGTAAGACAAGGACCAAAAGTCTTACCCGGTAAGTGAGGGCGACGACTCTTACCACATTAAGCGCTTACCGGGTAAATTGTTGTATACGATGTCGTTTTGGTGAACTAAAATCTTTCCCGATAAGTAAATAATATTGTTAAATTGTTGCATACGATGCAATGTTGGTACAAACCACTATCGTGTATCAATAAAAAAAACTTGATGCCAATTAAGTTGGCATCAAGTAAATTGGTTGGTATACGGTATTGAAAACAAAGACATGGTACCGTATTATATTCATCAAATAGATGTTAGAACTTGGGGTCGTTTTAATAGGTTGTCGGTTCGAGTCTTCTCAAAATCAGTTATAATTTTTCTTACTGTTATCTTTATTCCCACCCGAACTCTTAACAGTTTAGCCCAATACTAAAACACCATCAATATTATTAGGGCTGTGAACGAACCGAACGAACACGAACGTTGGCTTGTTCATGTTCGTTCATTTAACTTAACCGCACAAATGAACGAACACGAACGGTAAATGAACGAAAATCTTTGTGTTCGTGTTCGTTTGTTTAGAAATCAAATGTGTTCGTGTTCGTTCATTAACATGCAAAACGAACGTAAACGAACGAACATAAACGAACGAGCTAAATAAACATAAACAAATATTATTTAAATTCAAAGTAAATAAACATAAGATTATATATTAATTTTAATATATAAACGAACATAAATGAACGGTAAATGAATGAACATTCACGAACATAAATAAATGAACGGTACTCTTGTTCATGTTCGTTCATTTAATTAAACGAACAAAATTTTTTATTCATGTCCGACTGTCCGTTCATTTATAAAATAAACAAACATAAACGAACTTCCTACCAAACAGTTCGCTGAACATTCGATTCGTTTACGGCCCTAAATATGATCACTCTTTTAATCAAAATTCAACAATGTGTGTAAAAAATGACTTGAAAACCAAGCACCAAAATCAATCATACCAAACAGAATCAAAAGTGCTTACAAACTCACTCTTACTCTTGCTTGTGTGTATTGAATTCTACTACAAAATTTCAGGCTGTTTTTTTCCATCTGAAACAGCCACAAAACAGACAGACAGATACCATAATAACCATCAAATAAATGAATCCTCCTATTCACATTCTTCAGTTGCCTTCCAGAAGATTCTGCAATCTATCTCGAGCTTCTTCCGTCAAACCGCTACATCTAAACCTCGGCCTCTGACGACCACCCGAGTGCCCTGCCGCCGCCGATGAAAAGCAAACAACGATAGCTGTCAGATTATCACTCGTATCACGGCGTAAAGCTTGATTCACAAGCTCTCGGGCACAACACTGTGGGTCGTCGTACAGTCTAAGTTGCCGTCGAACAAGGGCAACTGCTTCTTGATTCGTCATGACGTCCCAAATCCCGTCACACCCGATGATCAAAAACTCATCGTCTTCGGTTAAAACGGTTTGCATCACATCTGGTCTCGCAGTCAGAGGCGATTCAAAGCCGATGGGTGATTTCATGTACCAATCTCCAAGGGCACGTGTGACTGCAAGTTCGCCATTCAGGTACCCTTCCTCGATAAAACCACCCAAAGCCTCCACCCGTCTCTTCTCTTCCAAGAAACTCGGCCTATGATCTTGGGACATTTGCATTGCAACACCTTTTCTACAAAGCACTGCACGACAGTCACCAGCATTTGCAATCAGTAAATGCCTCCCGAGAATCAAAGCGGTTAAAGCCGTTGTCCCACAATCATCTCTGATGCTACATTCGTCAGCCAAAGCTTGGTCAGCTTGTAAAAATGCTTTACAATGAGAATTTTCCAGCTTTTCCAAGAATAATTCGTCGATATCTGCAGTTTGTGGTAAATCAGAATCTATGAAGAATAATTTCATTGCATGATCTTTAAGATATGATGCAGCTTCAGACCCTCCATGACCATCAAAAACGGCATAAAAAGAACTTGGGAGAGGCCACCTATAAAGGGGACCCAACTGGTTAGATAGATCATCAATTCGAATGTGTTCATCCTCGTTAGATCTGCGGGGTCCGATATCTGTGTGACTCCCTGACCGGATGCTTGGACTGAAATTTGATTCCACAAGTGTGGTTTGAATACTAGCTGCGCAGCTCACAGCCTATACTTAAAAATAAAATAATAAGACTTGCAATTCCCATATTAACCTCAACAAATATAACATTCACTACAACAAAATTGGGTTTCAAAAATAATCAAGTTTCCTAATAGTGTTTTATAGAACTTAAGTTTATATGACCAAACAATGGAACTTTCTATCTATAAGTGTTACAATAAGTTTATAACAAGCTTTTTTGAACATTTTTAAAACAAAGTGTCATATTAGCAACTTTATTATAGGATACTATTTGAAATAGCGTCCTATACAACAGATGAGGCAATTTCATATTCAAGAAACTAGCAAGCACAGATTTATCCAAACCGAATAAATAGTTGAAATGATGGCGTCAAATTTTGAATAGTCTTAACAAGCCTATTGAGCAAGATAACACATTTTGGTTAACAATAAGCACCTAATCTAGACAGTTAAACTATATATCGTAGATATTGCTGACTCTATGTTTTAGGTTACCCACTGTCCTACAAAATTGATATGGATATGAAATAAGTTTTATATAAGCCCATTGACCGTACAGACTGACCATCTCATAAATGATTATCTAAAATCCTATAATGATGGACTAAATGGAGAAAGGAAAATAAAAATTATGAATTAAAAATGAAAATCCACATTATAAATCTACAAGAAAGAAAAAATAAAGATTGAGATGAAATATATATACAAATATATAGGAGGAAGATCAAACAAGAACATATTCAAAATAAGAGAACACAAGAACAGTCAAATCACATGCGATTTTGCATTGAAATCACATGTGATTACAGAACACGGTAACACAAGGTGTGTGGGCACGCGTAATTACATGTGATCTTACACGTGAGTTTAGTGTGATATCACACATGATTTGGTCGTTCTCTCGTTTGAGAGAGATAAAGAGATTGGGACTAAATATTAAAAGTGAAAAATAAGGACAGAAAGAAGCGAAGGGGTGAGGCAACAACTAGAAGATGTAATGGAAAACCTTGATTTAAACTGGGTTCAATACAAGTTCAATGACATTGTGGGGTCTGATAAAGAGGATATCCATGTGTTAGGTTGGTTTTGTTATTGTATTTCCAATTTCCTACTTTTAATTTAGTTTTTGGTAATATATGAACTACAACGGTATCTAGCTTCATTTATGGAATAATATATCCACACAGACATCTATAAACCCGACGCCAAATGTTCATTTTGATGGATCATGCATCTTTATTGGCATTTGGCACATCCTTATCCTAAGTCCTAACAAAATATATGCCTGGTATAACACTGAAAAATCTACCCAACAACTCTCCAAGATGCTTATGATTGTGAGAAATATTAACATCTACAAAATTCATGATAATTCTGACCAACAAACATCCCCTTATTCTTTTTTCTGGGTAACCTTGGTTTTTGGGACCAATTTACACACACCATGGCATAAGGACTAGAGTCATCGCATATGAACCTCCATGGCCATAAGGGGTTTGACAACACCATGATTCGAACCCGGGGAAAGATGATTTCACTACATTCTACTAAGCCTTAACCAATGTGCCACAACCCAAGTGGTTAATATCCCCTTATTCAGTATGGCAAGTGTTGGCTCTCCTTGATTGATGGGGTCACAAGAGGGTTAAGGGGTGGATGTAATCCTAATGAAAGACGAAACACACTAATCATCAAAATTCAGGCTTATATTTCCTTACTTATTTCTACTATTCCATGTGTAATTGTCCAAAGTCTTAGCAAACTTTAATAACCCTCATTAGCAAAACCCTAAATGCTAACTACTCTCAAAGAGGGGTCATGATATAAGAACCAGGGTTATCATCATAAATAACCATACGAGGAAAAAAAATTATATTTTAGCCACCTCAAAACTTTTTCTCATAAAATAGCCAAGAAACCACAAGTCCATGCTCCAAGACACTTTTCCTTGTGGTTATGTTTCAGACGCACCCAGATGAAAAGTGGACCCACCGCAAAAAATAAATTGATACACCACAGCTCGCAGCATGGTGAGGACATGCATCGACACACAAAAAGCAAGATGAAGCCGCAACTTGCGTCACCGCAAGAAAACGTGTCTTGCAGCACCTGACTTGTGGTTTCTTGACTATTTGTGAGAAAAAATAAAATAGTGGCTACAAAATAAAACTTTTTCATGAGGAGGCCATTTGTGATGATAACACATAAAAACGATGTAATCAGGGTACAGTTTCTGCCTCAGAAAAAAATCAAACCCCTCAAAACTTAAAAGATGATAATTTTAGAAACTGAATTTATAGGGCTCAAATTGATCAGACCAACACAGTTTACAAGCAAACTAAACGAACTCCATTTCTAATTAAAAAACCTCTGAATTACATGCTCCCAAACACCACGAAAGCATTTATTAACAAAAGAAACTTGGGTATTCAAACGACGGCCAAACCCTTATCTAGGGAAACTATCATAATTTCACTTTTATCCAACAGATCCCAGATGCGTATACACAAATCTATACTTTACACAATCAACAACACTAGTAAACCCCCAATTTTTCACAACAAGATACAAAAAGAGAACATATAGAGAATCCAGACTCAAACCCTAATTTCACATCACCACAAAGAAATCAAAAAGAAAGAACATAAGAACAAAGAAGAAGATTTTTCTTTTACCGAATCGGAAATCGAAACGACATCGATAGAGACGGAAGCGGATTCAGCTGAAACAGAGTCGGATTCCGGTACAGATATATTAAATTGAACAGAACATATGGTCTGCTCGCACAAAAGCTCTGCTGCTTCAGCAACCATCTTCGGGTTATTCGATACTATCATCAAAATCAAATCAAGATCGTGAGTGATTAATGGATTAACTGTTTTTGAGATAGAATAAACTCAAAGGAATCGGAAGAAAAATTGGATGAAAATTGCGATTGAACAAGTTTTTCAGAGGAAATTGGGGGTTTTCTTTGTGTTTTATAGGAAAAGAAGTTAGACTGCGTGCTACGTGAATCAACGCGGTACGCTGTGCGTGTAGTGGCTGCGCTCCAGTTATTTATTTGGAAACAATTTCCATTTTTATTTGATTTGATTTGTTAAAAAAAATAAAATAAAATAATTGATTGATTGATTCGGGAATTTAATTATTAATTATTTCCAATAAATTCATAATTAAATATAATGTCTAATTTAAGACATAATTAGTAAAAATATTCAAGTCTAACTCTATAATATATTTTGAATAAGAAAAAAAAAAGTCTTTGTGGTCATGAAGGTTTAAATACGATGGTTTCGAGTTACCTACAAAAGAGATGGTTGTTTTAGAAATTAATTGACTCGAATAGCGGGTTGAATATTCATGTTAATAAAAGAAGAAAAAATAATGAGATTTTATTTTTATTTATGTATTCGTTTATTAGCAAGATTTTATGCATAAATTTGGTCTAGAAATAGTCTTTTAAATATTATATTTTTTTAAATATTTATATTTTTTTAAATAGATTGATATAATAATGGTTTTTTTAAATAGGGATAGAAATATAATAATTATTTTCGAAATAAAAAGATATTTTCTCACAAAGATAAGCATTATATTTTGTAAATCGTAATCCCATGGAGATACAAGGTAAATCTAAGTTTCAAATTTCAAAAATAAACACAAAGATGGTGTTTGATTGGTTTGAGCTTGGCTTTAAAGGTCAAAAATATCGGGAGGTCACATGTTCAAATCCAAGGAGGAATAAAAATCTCCTTATGGCCACGGAGGTTCAAATGCGGTGACTCCGGGCTATCTGCAAAGCAGGTGGTCATCTTGGGATTAGTCGGCTCGCATAGCGGGTTGGATATTCAGGTTAATAAAAAAATAATGTATATATATATATATATATATATATATATAAGTTTCAAATTTCAAAAATAAATGATGGAATAAAAACATAAATACGAATAACGATAATTAAATGAGAATCACAAAATGTTACAAACTTATAAGAATTAATATAAAAATATAAATATGTTTTTGTTTTAAAAAAAGTGTATATGAAACTTTTTTAGATTCACTTACTGAAACAAAAAATACACGTAAATAAGTTTTACGTGATAAAATAAATATATGTGAAACTATCATACTATGGAATAAATATATTTGAAAAAAAGATGAATTTTAAATCTTATCATTTAATGGAAAAAAAATCATGTAAAATAATATTTTTAAAATAGATTATCAAAATTTATAATTTTTTATGGTTGTCATTTGATTTGACTCCTACATGCACACATTGACACACACACACACACATACATATATATATATATATATATATATATGCATGAAAGATCATGTGAGAAAGAGAGTTAAAGTGAGAAGTGTAAAAAGAAATTTTCACTTTTAATTACCTTTAATCTCAAACTCACTCATGAATCGCGTTTGATACGGGGATTGGTTCGGTGCATCTCACGTAATGTGCATTTAAAGGTGAAGATCTCTTCTTACCATCCTCACCTTAGCTCTCTTTCTCACTGAAACTCAATATATATATATGTGTGTGTGTGTGTGTGTGTGTGTGTGTGTGTGTGTGTGAAAGAGAGAGAGAGAGAGGGGGTAGGTTTAACCGTTTAAACGATATGGTTGGGTTCCGATAAGAAGGAGGATTAAGGTGAGAAATGTAAGAAAAGATCCACACTCTTAAATGCACATTATGATGAGATGCACCAGATCAATTTTCATATCAAGCGTAATTCATGATTGGGTTTGAGATTAAAGGTGATCAAGGGTCCATATCACTTCTTACACTTATGACTTCTCACATTAACTCTCATTCTTACACGATCATTTATTTGTATACTAATTGATAAATTATATAACATAAAAATAATCATAATGCAACTACACAATTGTTTTCCAACATCAAATAGTTTAAAAATTGATGATCCAAAACACACGAGTAATTGTGGTTTATACATATATTATAAAAATGGAACATTTTCATTGTGTTAAAATAAAGCATAGTTTCATAGTATCAATGGTTAATTAGCCTTGACATCAATAATGGCAAGACATAACACGTCATACAAAGTTATTATACCATAACATTTTCAATAAGTATTTTTTTGCAATTTTTAGAAATTAAAAAATTAGAATATTTAATATAAAATAGTTATTTAGTTTAAATTCTTATTAATAATTATCTATACTATATTATAAAGTATTTGACAAAAACTCTTAAAAATTATTTTTTTATGCACAAAATACTGCTTATTGATGCATATTACTTAAATTTTAAATTATAACTAAATTATGCATAAATACAACTTATTAAACCTTTATATTTGAATTCATATAACTAACTGCAGATAAAAATAATCAAATACTGGATAAACATCTCATTTTAAATATAAAAATCTAAGATATAATTAGGATAATCATTGAGTTCTAACAGAATACTTAGTTATTATCTTTATAAAAAAATCATGTTATTAAACATAAATTAAATTACTTTGTTACTAAACTTAAATTAATTTATAATAAGAAAATGAATTAAGGAAATTACACCAAAAAAAATAATTTTTAAAAAGGTTAATTTGATACTGATATTAATATTTATTTTCAAAATTTTATGATATTTTATTAAAAAATAAAAATATTATCGTTTTCTCTAAACCACATAAAACCGTATTATATCGACATACAAAAAAAAAAAAAAAACTAAACACTGAAATCGAGATGTGTCTTGATGCATTGCACGAGTACCCTTCTAGTATATTATAAAGCATTTGACAAGAGCTCTTAAAAACAATGTTTTATGTATAAAGTACTGTTTATTGATGCGCACTGCTTAAAATTCAAAATTACAAGTAGAAAATACATGAGTACATTTTATTAAAGCTCTATGTATGAATTCGTATAACTAACTGCAGATAAACATAATCAAATACATGATAAACATCATTTTAAATATAAAAAATCTAAAATATAATAAGATAATCATTGAGTTCTAACATAATACTTAATTATTATCTTAAAAAATATTTTATTATCTCAAAAATAAATTAGTTCATTATTAAACTTTAATTAAATTATAATAAAAAATTGAATAGTTAATTTGATACTAATATACATTTCTTTTTCAAAAAAATTTAATATTTTCAAATTTATATTTCATTAAAAAATAAAAACATTTTTCTTTTTCTCAAAATCACATAAAATCGCATTATAACATTGATAAAGCCTAAATATAAAACGAAACATTAGAATCAAGATGTATCTCAGTGCATTGTGCGAGTACCTTTCTAGTATTATTAAAATATTTGATATAAAATAGTATTTTTATCTCTTAAACACTTAATTTCAATATCTCATATTTATGAAAAAGAATTAAATATTATTTTTTCTATTACATATAGATTTTTAGAGAATTACGTAAATTTAAAGATTTTCACTGTTTCTTTTTTTCTTCCTATTTTAACATTTATTATAACATACATAGTTATTGAAGCAAAAATATTAATTACATCTAATTAAAAACGTATTTATTTTGGTTCCTGTTTTAAAAACCTATTTTTTAAGACTATATTTCGAAGAAGTCGAAGTCTATTTAAGGGAACATATTATAATTTTATAAACGCTTCTAGCTTACGTTTGAGTTTCCTCTGACTACAACGTAATTTCTCAGCTGGCCTGTCCTCTAGGCACCTTTGGAAGGCAGGGACCTGAGGTAGATGAACGGTTCACTGTCAGTGGTTCCATACGTCAATCCCATCCTGAAGGAACAAAAGCACCACTAGTTGTAAGAATAGAAATAGATGAGGATGGTGTGTCCTCAAAGAGCACTAGTTGCCTTTCAAATTTTACAATACGTCCAAATAACAAGAGACTTATAAAATGTAATTACAACCATAAGGGTGGGGTCCGATTGGTTTGAGTTTGGATTCAAAGGTTAAAGTGTTTGGAGCTCCCAGATTTCGAATCCAATGAGAAATAAAAATCCCCTTGTGGCTACGGAGATTCAAATGCGGTGACTCCAGGCTACCTGCGAAGAGGGTGGTCGCTCTGGGATTAGTCGGCTCGCTTAGTGGGTTGGATATCCAGGTTAATAAAAAAATGTAATTACTATGACAAAACTGGTTTTATAGGACGTCTACATTGTCTAAGTGTATTAATATAATAGTTTACAGAACTAGGTTTATAGACCCAAACTATAAAGCGTCGTATCTAAAGTTGTTACAATAGATTGTGTTTATATGACACTTTTTCAAATAGTGTGATATAAAATAGTTAATATGATACTTTATTTTAAAGGCGTAGTAAAAACGTCCTACAAACCTATTGTAACAATTTTAGATTGACATTTTTTGGTTGGATGTTATAAAGCTAATTCTTATATGATACTTTTTTAAAAATAGGGTTTGAGCTCGAGCTCAAATGTTTCTTAAATCATCGAACTCGAACTCGATTCTCGTTTATGGGCTCGAACTTGCATCAATTATTTCATTTAGTGGCTCGAGCTCAATAATTATTTTATTATATAATATATAAATATATGAGAATGTTTGACTCGAAAAAGTATATGCTCGAATAGCTTAACTTGACTCAAAAAATTTAATCGAGTTATCAAATGAGCCGAGTAGAACATTGGTGTTACGGGGCCCGACCCGTTATCTTAAACGAGTTTTATTTTATGTTAATATTAAGCTTGAGCTCGAGATAAACGAACTTGAACACAAATAATTCGTTATAAATTCAAATCGTTAACATCCCAACACATACATGCATATTTCAAAACTTCATGCATGTTAACAATATAAGTCATGCATACACGTATGCATGTTAACAATCTCATGCATACATATTTTCTCATACATAAATATGCACATATTCATATAATCAAATAATCACATAGATTTTACCTCAAATACATAACCAGAACCCGGTTATCAATATTTAATTATAGTTTTATGAAAGTATATAAA